AGGGGTTGTGACTTTAAATATATAGACACACACACACACACACACACACACACACACACACACACACACACACACACTCACTGAAATGCCTCGAGCCATTTCAACCAAACGTATACAAAGGACTTACTCTCTGGAAATAAATACTGTGGTGGTAAGACACCCCGAAAACCCTTTGGGGTGTGTGTGTCCTGGCACACAGGTGGCATGCAGAGCCCATCTCAGTTCCACTGCGCATATGTGTGGGGCTTCCCGCTGGGCCTAGGGTTTCACAAATTAAGAACCTCAAAAGACTAGTAGGTCACAGTTTTTCCTCTCCCCTGTTGTTTGGGCAGTTTTTCTTACAGCTTCAGCAGGCTGCGCTGGAATTGTCCGCCGAAAGCGACACGCTAAGCAAGCTGCAGTTGGGACAGCTGGCTTCGCTGGAGAGCTCCGTGTTCGACGAAATGATCCACCTCCTGGAACGGTTGAAGCACGATATGCTCACTCGCCAAGTCGGTCATGTCTTCAAGGAGGTCAAAGAGGAGGCCAAGATATACAAAAGGGAAAGGTAAAAACTTTCAGAGGGGAATATCCGTAACCCGGGGTTCGAAATGAGGGGGTCCTCGGTGCTCTCTTGAGCTTGGTGGTTTTCTTACAGACATTTCATTACCCTACTAGGTAACGCCATCAGTGCTGCTAGGTTAAAACTTTGCTGCTGCTTCTGCTTCTAATCAAACGTTTTGATGGGTAGTTTTGCGGGCAGGTGGGAAAAACTCATTGACAATTCACTTTCTTGATTCCAGGAAGTTTGATAGGGGAAGGGACCTCCTGACCACTGGAAAACAAATTATTTTAGAGTGACACAAATGTTATGTTAAGTTGTTTATACACAGAACTGAATTAATCACTGCCACCTTGGGGGGCTTGCCCAGCCAATAAGGCCACTGAAAGGAGGAAGGACGTGAGCCTCTCCTTCTTTGTCTCTCTGCCCCCAAGGAATGGATTATGTAGTCCGGCGATTAGCTCGTAGAATTGCTGGACGGTGGCAAAGGGCTGTGTACCATCAATGTCCCTTCTTCTTCAGTTTTGACCTGAGTGGTGGAGAATGGAAGGATTTATACTCCTTGCAGTCCTCTGGTCGTTAGCGCTCTCTCTGAGAGTCCTTGTGGCCCCTTGGAGGTTTTCCTGGGCCTTCAGGGTGACCCAAATCCCATAAGATTGATGGGATGCAAAAGGCCTAGCCCAGCGATGGTTAACCTTTTTAGTGCGGAGTGCCCAGAGCGCGCCCCAATCCCCAAAATGCAATGCAAACGCACCCTGCATATGCAGCCCGCCTCCCCCACACACATTCCCTGTGCATGCGCCCTGCTCCCCCGCCCATTTTGGCTCCCAGGTAGGTGCAGGAGGCTTTTCAGGCCCAAAAATGGGGCGCGGGGGAGACCTCGCGATCTCCAGTTTCTCCCCCCCCCCCTAGCGCGCCCTAGCTTTGTCCTCCATTCCTGCCTCCTGTGCCTTCCCCAATCTTTGCAGTTTCTCTCCCCAGCGCACCCTGGCTTCCTCCTGCATTCCTGCCACCGAGAGGCACCTGCAGAGGGTGGAACCTGTGGAGATTGGGGAAGGCATGGGAAGCAGAAATGCAGGAGAAAGCTAAGGCGTGCTGGGGAGAGAAAGCTAGGGAGCACTGGGAGGAGGGGGGGAACTGCAGAGATTGGGGAAGGCCCCACCCCGGCGCATACATGGCCGAAGACCAGCTAGCCGGCGGGAGGCACACGTGCCGTGGAGCTGGGCTGGGGCAAAGGCTGGTGTGCCTGCAGGGAGGGCTCTGCGTGCCACATGTGGCATAAGTGCCATCGGTTCGCCATCACAGGCCTAGTCAAAGCATACAATGGAGAGGGAGTTGGCAGCATGCCTCCCTTTTTATGTGTTGCCCGCCCTTGTCTTGAGGTCTGAACATGTACTTTCCTACATGTACCATTTGTAGGCGAAGGCGAGGCAGAGTCAAGAACGGAATCAGCCTGCAATCATTATGTTCCCACAAAGGTCTTGCGTCCCTCCCTTCTTGAATTCTGTTTGACTCTTCTCTAGCGCCAATTTAATGCTGACGGGTTAGTTGACTATATTTCTCGTGTTACAGGCATGAAGCATAAAATCAGGTTTAACACATGGGCCCGAATCTTCGCACCTGACATTTTTTCCCCTGAAAGGGGAACAAGCGAAGCTACGGGTCGACTCGAGACAAGTTTTCGCGTCTTTTCGTTTAGGTGGCTCTCCTTGCCTTCCCAGGCCGAACAAGCCGTGATGTCCTTATCGAGCAGCGCCTGTCCCTTGCTCCTGACCTTGAGGGACCGGCTCCTTCAGTTAGAGCAGCAGCTTTGTTACACCTTGTTCAAAATCTTCTGGCAAATGCTCGCGGAGCAAGTCGACTTGTTCATCTATCAGGAGGTAAGGACCGTCTCTTGTGGCCCGCCAGCGGCCAGCAGAGCTGGCTGCAGATTCAAACAGTGAGGAGGTTGGAGAGAAACATGGGCCTGTCCTGGACCCTGGGGGAGGCTCTGATGAGGGCTCTGTGTCGGAGGCAGAGAGGGGGCCAGAGCCGTATGCCAGTTATCAGCTGCCTTCAAAGTCAGACCTCAGTGACGAACAGCTGGAGCCTGTTCCCAGTGTGCGCATGCGCAGAGTTGCCAGACAGAGAAGAGCTAAAGAACAGAGGTCAACTTTGGAGTAAGGCCACAGGTGGTTGGTGAATGGCCCCTCCCAGAGGGAATAAAAGAGGCGCGAAAGGGGAGTGGAGTTTGCAGGAGACCATTAGTTCGCTTAATTGGTTCATGATTCTCTGAGGCTCCTTGCCAAGTTTTGCAGATATCAGCCTGGGAGCTCTCCAAGCCAGATAAGGTCTGTGACTGTAAATCCTCCCCAGAAAGACTTTGCTGGATGTGAATGAGCACAAATTTTGTCGGGACAAGGAGTTTGCTTCATGCTCTTGTGAAGCCTAGGTCAGAACACCGTCGCCGGCGTCTCGCTGAGACTTCAGCTGAGAATAACGCTCCTAGTTTTAAACGTCGCTCGCTTTTGATCTGTCCTCAATATTTATTTTAGGTCATTCTAGCCAATCACTTCAACGAAGGTGGAGCAGCCCAACTCCAGTTCGACATGACCCGGAATCTTTTCCCTCTGTTTTCCCATTACTGCAAACGGCCGGAGAATTATTTCAAACAGTGAGTATGACATGTCTCGAAGTCTATTTCTGAGTTGTGTAAGGGGAATCAAAGCTTCCTCCTTAGTTTTTTCGAGAGAGGGATTCACGCCCTGTAACTGGAGATTCTCGGTCCTCCAGGTTCATGGTTGTCCCAAAGGTGCTTTTTCTTTCCTTCAAAAGGCAACTGGACTTTTGTTTCTTTCCTTGAAGACGTTTCGCTTTTCATCCAAGAAGCTTCTTCAGCTCTGGCTGGAGGGTGGGGAAATGGAAGGATTGATACTCCTTGAACACAGCTGGTCATTTACATCCTTTTAGAGAGTCGTTGAGGCCACTTGGAGGTTTCTTTCTTTCTCTTTGAAGACATTTTCCTTCTCATCCAAGAAGCTTCTTCAGCTCTGACTGGAGGGTGGAAGAATAGAAGGATTTATACTCCTTGAACACAGCTGGTCATTTGCATCCTTTTAGAGAGTCATTGAGGCCACTTGGAGGTTTCTTTCTTTCTCTTTGAAGACATTTTGCTTCTCATCCAAAAAGCTTCTTCAGTTCTGACTGGATGGTGGGAGAACAGTATGATTTATACTCCTTGGAGATAACTGGTCATTTGCATCCTTTTAGAGAGTCATTGAGGCCACTTGGAGGTTTCTTTCTTTCTCTTTGAAGACATTTTGCTTCTCATCCAAGAATGACCAGCTGTTTGCAAGGAGTATCAAGCCTTCCGTTGTCCCATCTTCCAGCCAGAGCTGAAGAAGCTTCTTGGATGAGAAGCAAAATGTCTTCAAAGAGAAAGAAAGAAACCTCCAAGTGGCCTCAATGACCCTCTAAAAGGATGCAAATGACCAGCTATCTCCAAGGAGTATAAATCCTTCTGTTCTCCCACCATCTAGTCAGAGCTGAAGAAGCTTCTGGGATGAGAAGCAAAATGTCTTCAAAGAGAAAGAAAGAAACCTCCAAGTGGCCTCAATGACCCTCTAAAAGGATGCAAATGACCAGCTTCTCCAAGGAGTATAAATCCTTCTATTCTCCCACCATCCAGTCAGAGCTGAAGAAGCTTCTTGGATGAGAAGCAAAATGTCTTCAAAGAGAAAGAAAGAAATATCCAAGTGGCCTCAATGACCCTCTAAAAGGATGCAAATGACCAGCTTCTCCAAGGAGTATAAATCCTTCTATTCTCCCACCATCCAGTCAGAGCTGAAGAAGCTTCTTGGATGAGAAGCAAAATGTCTTCAAAGAGAAAGAAAGAAAC